AATTAATCACTTGTTTTGTATGGATTAAAATCAAAATTTTAATAGATTTTGATAAGAAATAATGAAATGTGTGGCTGAAAAGTAGTGGGTCTCATAAAATATATGGTTAAAATTAGTTGTTAACTTTGCCTTATAATAAAATTGGATTTTAATTTCTATCAAACACGGACTAAATATTATTCTAAGTCCCTGTTTGACAACCATATTTTTAAACTCTTTTTTAATTAAACCCTTGTTTGGTGGGGATTAAAATCAAAATTTTAGTAGATTTTAATAAAAAAAAAGTAATGAAATGTGGTTGAACGGTTGTGAGTATCATAAAATATGTGGTTAAAATTAGTTGTTGATTTTGTTTTATATTAAAATTTGGGTTTTAATTTCTACCAAACACGGGCTAAGTATCATTTCGAGTCTTCAAACTCTTTTTTAAATAAACTATTGTTTGGTGGGGATTAAAATTAAGGGCCTGTTTGTTACAAATTTTCATTTTCTATAGTAAATCAATTCTCATTTTCAACCACACATTTTTCAATAAAATAATATTTTCCATCGCATCAATACTTTTTTTCTTCTTTTTCAACCACACATTTTCCATCATATCACTATTCAAAAATCAATTCTTCCCCCAAAAATCCCTACCAAACACACACTAAATTTTTACTAGATTTTGATAAAAAATAATGAAAATGCATGATCGAAAAGTTGTGAGTTTCGTAAAATATGTGGTTTAAATTATATATACACACACACACACACACACACACACACTCATTTGCAATCACAGATTTACATTATAAAATATTCTGTACGTAAACTCAATTTTTTTTAAGCACACATTCTTCAAAAAATCATTATTTAAAACTCTATTTTCTTCAAATAATAATTGCCAAATAGGGGCTCATAAATCTAAAATTGACTATATAAATTATTTTTGTCTCTTATTAGATCATTAGACATCTTCTAACTTTCTATATTGAAATAATTCTAATGTTATGAAAGAGAATATAATAAGATACAAAAGAGAGGAAACATGTAAATGAATCTAATATTTTTTTAATAAAAAAAAAAAATTGAATGTGTGATATTGAGCCTTGGTTTGATGGTCATTTTTTTTTCAAAAATAATGTTTTAAATAATAATTTTTAAGAGAATGCGTGATTAAAAAATAAGTGAAAATCTAATTTTAAGTGAAAAATATTTTATTATGTGAATATGTAGTTAAAAATGAGTATGTGAAAAAAAAAAGCTTTCAAATAATCATGTGAAACATGGACTTATTTTATAAATACTAGTCAAAATTGAACGTGCAATTCTTATATGCTTTACAAGTATTGTGAAAGTAATATTTGACCCTTCATTTAACATTTTGATCAAAATATGAGAGAAGTGCAAGCTCTTGAAAATAAATGTTAATTATTATACATGTATGTAAATAGTGAAATGCATACTTGAACGTAAGTATTAGAATTACAACTAATTGTATAAATGAAGATGAATGGCAAATACGTTATATAAATTAATGTGAATGCTAATTAATTTAGAATTAATACAGAAAAATATATACGTGACAATGAATGTTAAATCATTCATATTAAAGGAATAAAATTTAATTTTCAATTAAGCGAAACTGGATACCAATTACAATACATGGATGTTTTAATTAATACTAATTAAATGAATGTCAATGTTAATTAATTGAGAATCACCAACGGGAATATGGATGTGAATGTGAATGTAAAATTCTAATTAATATTAATTTAATGAATAAAAATGTTAATTAATTGAGAATTAATAAAATTATGAACGTGAATGTGAATGTAAATGTAAATGTGAAATTTTAATTAATACCAATTAAATGAACGTGAATGTTATAATTAAGAATTAATTACAATGAATACATGCAGAAACAAGGCTTTTGTAGTATTTATTATAATTTGTAAATTAAATAGTTATTGAAAAATAAAAAGTAAAGTATTATTGAAATAATTGAATTGTAGTAGGGTTATAATCGTCTAAAAAATTATTCACAGTTCTAATATTTAATACATTATAAATATTATCACTACAATATAAAAGAGCCGAGAGATATAGCGCCACGTGTCGCTTTTTCCTGTCGTCGTAATTCATTTTTTTCCGCTTTCTTCTTCATTTTCACACGCAACCAATCGCCAATTTTCACATAGCAGTATAGCACCAACTGCACAATGCTTTCTGTCCTTTTTTATCTCCTCTTTTTCATCTCCCGATTTTCACGCCATCTCTCTCGCAGTAAAATTCTATGGTGTAGTGTCTGGTTGGATTGAGCTTAGGTGAGTTCTCGCATAATTTCAATTTTGTTGAAGGAATTCTTTTTGGCGGTGTTGGTGCGTCGATTCAAAGTGTAATGTGCATTATTATGATCATATTTAGATTTATTATCTGTTGTTTGTATTGTAATGAAAACGTTATTACCTTAAGTAATATGCATTATTAAGTAGTATAATAAATCTAAAAAAGTTAGAAATTCTTGCCCCCAGATTCCTATGTTAGATTTTTTTTTTGGTTGTTAGATAACAATGACGGTGGAGTCAGAAATTCTTGCCTTAGAATTCCTATTATAGAAATTTTTTTTGTTTGTTAGATAACAATGAAGGTGGTGTCTCCGTGTTTCCGCACGGAGACACCGTCCGTGTCTCCATTAGCAACGGAGACACCACGTGTCTCTTTCAATCTCGCACGGAGATACTGCGTGTCTCCATGTGAGATGGAGACGTGGGCGGTGTCTTCATGCCTCACTATTTCCCCTTTTATCTTTGAGTTTGGAATCACAAGAAAACTGGGAAAATTAATTAATTGAAAAATCGAAGATCTGGCAAGAAATGGGATCATCGAAACTTAGTTTGACTGGTAGACAATCAACGATGAAGCCTTATATTCCCAAAACGATCAGTGAATTTCTTGTTGAAGTTTCGTTGATTATTAACTCATCTAAAAGACTTTCGAAACTCGATGATTATGTCAATAGACTCCAAGATGAAATGAAGAAGATCGATGCATTCAAACGCGAGCTCCCTCTTTGCATGCTCCTTATCACCTACGGTGAGCCAATTTTCTATTTTATAAATGGCTTTTTGATTTTTTTCTTAATTTTTAGAAAATGGTTTATTTGGAATATTTTATTGCTGGAATGGGGTTTTGGTTTTTTATAGACGAGATTGCTTATTTTTGGGTTTTGATGGCTGCAATGCGATAATTGAGGGGGAGTTAATGCAATGCCAAAAATTAAGTATTGAGCCAATAATTAGATCCACGAAACCACCACCCACGCTAACACCACCGCCACCAACAATATCACTTCACAACAAAACCTTCATCACTCATAGCCTCAATCAGTCATCTGGAGGAATCAATTTGGACTTTTGGGTGTTAATTGGAACAAATGGATGCTTACCCATGGTGTTACTAGCCTTAATTGAGCTTCCCTTCATCGAATTAGACAATTGCAGCAAGAGATTTTCTTCAAATTCATCTGTTCCAAAATTTTCGCACAGAACCTTCATTTTCCCCATAAATTCAGCAAGGTTTGATGGGAATTTGGCAGGACCCATGGCTGGGTTAGGTGCTCCTGAGGGTAGGGAACATGACCCAGGTGGTCCGTGACCTAGGGTGTGACGGACGGCGTTGGAATCTTGATTGTTCGGACTGGGCAGAATGTGCGTCGCGACTGGAGCAGTTTCAGTTGCAAATTTCGATCGCTTCCGTCGGTGAAGAGAATGTCGTCGGTGAAGGTCCGCACCACCGACGCCACCACCAGCCAGGTACCACGGAGAGAGAGAAAATGAGACATGGGGGAGGGAAAGAGCGGCGTGAGAGGCGAGAGGGATGAGAATTTAGGTTTGACAATTTTAGGGGTGGGGTTGTTGTATATAATTTAATTTTCATAATATTTTTATTAATATTTAACTAAATATAAAAAATCTGTATCTATACATTTAAATATCTGATTTTTGAAACTTAAAACACCAAATCTGATTTTAGAATTTCAATTTTCAAATGTAAGGGAGGGTGTAATTTCCACTTAGATCAATTGTACTTGAAAATGATATTGCTAACCAAAATTTCAACCAATATTATTGTAGTACCTCATGAACTATAAATTGTACCCTTTGTTTGTTTGGGACTTTGTTAGAGAACTTTCGTACTAAGCTCTTATCGATAATTTGAGATCAATCATTAATTACGATACTTGTGTTAAAAATTTCTATTCAATCCACATTTGTTTTGCTAAATCAAATTTTCAGTAGATTTTGATAAAATATATAATTTAAAAGTTGATAAAAATTAAGGATTTCATAAAATGTATAATTGAAAATGAACTGAAAAAAATGAGGGCCAAATAGGGCTTTAAGCTCGTACTGACAATTTTAGACCAAATTAGTTATGTTTTATAATATTTAAAAGGGTAATTGGTACAAAACGTCCATTTCAGGAGTCCATTTATAGTAATCGATCATTAGAAGAGAAAAACTAGAGCCTGTCACAAAATTTGTTAACATTCTTTTCAAGTGCAACATTTGTTGTACATTTATAATCCTTTTCCTGAATCCTCATGACAATTTCCACAACAACATGTTATAAACATTTATTATTATACTAGGTGCAAGCAACGTGCAATACACGTTTGCCTAGTTTATATTTAATAGTTTTGTTTAAGAATTAATTTGTTATTAATAAAGATGTAATTTTTTTGGTTAATTAAATAATTAATGATGTAATGTTTATGTAATTGATAAATAATTAGATGTGTGATTTTGATGTTAAGAATTTCAATTTTCAAATGTAGGGAATGGCGTAATTTCCACAAAAATTAATGGCCTATTAGAAAACCAGTAAAAACCCAAATCGCAGTATTTTTCCTCGGCTCTCCCCCGAGTCCTGTCCACCGTATATTCTTCCTTGTTACTTGCACGCTTCAAATCAAAAATATTTATCCCCACCAATAGAACCCGGACCGGGGAATAATGTACGGTGGCGCCGGAAAGTTGAGCCGTGGAGGCGGAGGAGGTGGCGGGAAGCGGAACACTAATTCCACCTCTAACGCCCCGCCCATAAGTCGCCCCTCCGCTGCCCCCGGCGGCCGCCTTTCTTTAGGAGGAGGTGCCCAAGGCCGTGGCGCCGCCACCTCCTCGGGCTTGGGTCCGACCACCGTTTCTGTGCAGGCGGAGGAGACCTACAGCCTTGTCACGGGGAACCCTCTGAATTTTGCGATGATAATAAGATTAGTGCCGGACCTGTTGGAGGAGATCAAGCGCGTGGAGGCAGAGGGTGCCAACGTGCGGATTAAATTCGATGCCAATGCCAATAATAGCAACGGGAATGTGAGTCTTTGCTTCTGAATCTTAGTCCTTTTATGTTGAAATTTATGTTTTACCAATTGTTTTCTAATAGTTAGGGCTTAAGGTTGAACTGAAAAACGTTTTAACTTTTTTGGTTTGTGAGCTTTAGACTCCGGTTTAACAGATTGCTTCTTGAAGTGAAAGCTTGGTTCTGCATTCAATTGAACTAGTTTTTTTTTTTCTAATTGATACTAACTGTAATCAATATCTTTAAAACAAATTCGACCATATCTGGTTTGTCATTTGAGTGGTGTTTTTGCATTCTGCTGCAGCATGGAAGCATTCTATCTGATTTTTGTAGGCAATTGAAATCTATTTTACATTCTTGTAGTGTTCTGATTGGGAGATTAAATTGATGATAAGTACATTTCTATGAAACTATTTCACTTGAAATAAAATGGAACTGGCTATTATAGATGGTGCTGTAGCTGGATCTACTTGAAATTTTGGCCTTAAGAATGGAGAAACGCCATTCATGTAGTCTATAATGCTCAGAATAATTTTATGTTGGATTTTTGAAGATTGATGATCATGACAGAATTCTTAGACAGAGATGTCAGAACTATGTGCTCCTGGTCGTTTTATAGAATAGGAAACACAAGAAGCGTGTTATCACACTCAGAATTCTGTTCATTTGATCCAATTATCCTACACCTAATTTTTTTTTTTTTTATAGGTAATCGGAAAATTTAATTAATCAAAAAAGAATATACATGAAGTGTATTATCAGTTTAAATAAGAAACAAAAGATATGAAGTTGGGCAGCCCCTCTATAGAATTACTAGCCGCTGCATTAAACCAAATATAAAAAGTTAGATAAAATAATTCTCTAAATTGCTCTATAGTCCGTATTTGGTCTTTAAAGCATCAGTTGTTCCTTTCCCTCCACACAGACCATACAATGCATCCCAGGATAAGATTTCAAACTAACTTGCTATCCTTATCACGAAATTTTCTCCTCCATGCCCGCAACACGTCCTCTATACGTCTAGGCAATACCCAATCCATATGTTGAGAAGCCAGAATACTATTCCATAGCCAACGGACACCGTCACAGTGAATGAACAAGTGGTCATGCGTCTCCCCATCGCTCCTACACATATAGCACCACTCGGTAGCATAGAAACCTTTTTTTTGGAGATTATCCATCGTTAATGCTTGTTCTCTCACAACCGTCCGCAGTAAAAATGCCACCCGTGGGGGCAATTTGCAATGCCACACTATCATCCAGGGAAATGAACTCCCCACATGTCCCAAGAGAGATCGAAGATATGAGCGAACTGAAAAAATACCATTCTGTGCCAGCCTTTATCGGCAACGATCATCCTCTCCTACCCGAATTTGCGCTTTATACAAATCTGTTAGAAACAATGCATAGTCATCCAATTCCCAATCTTGCAAACCCCTCTGAAAAGTAATATTCCAACTGTAACTCTCATTGTGGATGGCTAAAACGTCATTCACTACAGTAGAAGGCATCATAGTAATGCGATGTAAGGAAAGAAACCCTAACTTTAGTGATATATCTCCACACCAACAATCNACTGAAAAAATACCATTCCGTGCTAGCCTCCATCGGCTACTATCATCCTCTCCTACCCGAATTTGCACCTCATACAAATCTGTTAGAAACATTGCATAGTCATCCAATTCCCAATCCTGCAAACCCCTCTGAAAAGTAATATTCCAACTGTAACTCTCATTGTGGATGGCTAAAACGTCATTCACTATAGTAGAAGGCATCATAGTAATGCGATGTAAGGAAAGAAACCCTAACTTTAGTGATATATCTCCACACTAACAATCATCCCAAAATCTGATATTATTACCTTCCCCACACAAAAGCTATTCCGAAAGTCGTTCCATCCTTGTCAAATATACCTCCAAAGACTCATCCCGTAAGACCCATGACCCTCACCAGAACACCAACCCCCTCCATCACGCCATACTTCGCCCCAGTGATTTCTCTCCAGAAACTCTCATTCTCCACACCAGACCGCCACAGTCATTTGCCTAATAATGCCTTATTAAACAAACTAAGTCTTCTCAATCCGAGACCCCCATCTTCATAGGACAGCAGACAACTCCCCATTTAACCAAATGAAGTTTCTTCTCCTCTCCCAGCCCTGCCCAAAGAAATTTCCTTTGAATCATCTCTAATCTGTTAGTTACTGTAGCAGGAATAGGAAACAGTGACATAAAATAAGTAGGGAGATTTGATAGGGTGGATTTAATGAGAGCAAGACGGTCACCCTTCGAGAGATACATACGCTTCCACCCCGCTAGCCTCCTTTCCACATTTTCTACAATAGCATTACAAATATTAATACTTTTAAACCGCGCCCCTAAAGGGAGTCCGAGATATGACATAGGTAATTGTGCAACCTTACAACCCAAAATAATAGCTAGTTCCTCCACATTAGTGACCTCCCATACTGGAATAACCTCAGATTTTCCCAAATTAACCTTCAATATTGACACTGCTTCAAAGCATAAGAGCAACCTGCGTAAATTCCTCTTACTTGCTCATCAACTGTGTTACAAAAAATCAATATGTCATCCGCAAATAGCAAGTGGGACACCTCCAGTTGACCAACCGTAAATCCCATAAGCAGATTCTCCCGCCTCGCTTTCTCGAGCATCTTCCCGAGGGCCTCCATTACAAAAACAAACAGTAATGGGGACAATGGATCCCCTTTCCTCAACCCTCTGCTACAGCCTCGCTTTCTCGAGCATCTTACTAAGGGCCTCCATAACAATAACAAATAGTAATGGGGACAATGGATCCCCTTGCCTTAATCCTCTGCTACTCCGAAAGTAACCCTCGGGGGTACCGTTGACTAAAACTGAAAATGAAACAGTAGAGATACAGAACTGTATCCATTTACACCACTTATCCCCAAATCCACATCTCCTAAGCATATAGAGAAGGAACTTCCAGTTCACGTGATCATAAGCCTTCTGAATATCGAGCTTGCATAGCAACCCTGGGAATCCTAGACACAGTCTTGAGTCAATGTATTCATTCGCTATTAGTACAAAATCCAAAATCTGACGACCTTTCACAAAAGCATTCTGAAACTTAGATACCACTTTTCCAAGCACTTCCTTGGGTCTATTAGTCAAAACTTTTGCAATAATCTTGTACACCCCACTGACCAAGTTAATATGGCGAAAATCCTTAATATCAGTCGTTCTCGATTTCTTGGGGATCAGCACAATAAATGTTGCATTAGAACTTCTTAAAAACCTGCCACGCTAAAAAAAGTAAATGAACACATCAATAATATCCTGTTGCACCACTTCCCAACACGCCTTATAAAATGAGAACGAGAATCCGTTTGGTCCTGGAGCCTTATCATCATTCATACTAAACACGACCTCCTTAATTTCATCCTCCCTAAATGGTCTCTCCAACCAACCGGCATCCTCCTCCGTAATAGTAGAAAACTCCAATCCATCCAACTCTGGCCTCCACTCAAACTATTCCCGATAAAGGTTCTGATAAAAGTTCAACATATGGGTCCCAATATCCTGTGGATCCTCATAAGTAACCCATCTACCTCCAACATTGTGACATCATTATTCCGCTTGTTAGAATTGGCGACCCTATGGAAAAATTTAGTGCATTTGTCTCTCTCTTTCAACCACGTGACCCTAGATTTATGGCGCCAAGCAATCTCCTCCATCTCCACCAAACTCATCGCCATTCCCGTAATACTCCACGTCTCTCCTTCTCCTCCCCATCCAAACCTCGCCCCCCCTAGCTTATCCAGCTCTTCAATGTCTGAAAATCACTGATCTTTATGAAAGTTCACATTGCCCACCACTTCCTCATTCCAACTCTTCAAATTCCTTTTTTAACGCCCTCAACTTATGATCCAACACATAACTGGGGGACTCTCGAAAATCATAAGCCCACAAATTCCGTACTCGCTCCCCAAAACCTTCCACTTTTAACCACATTTTCTCAAACCTAAAGGGCCTCAATCCACTACCTATAGTATTCCTAGATAACAAAATAGGAAATGATCAGAGTATACCCTCCCCAATCTCTTCTGAGTAACATCTGAGTACTTAGCCTCCCACTCTCCGCTAACCAAGAATCGGTCGATACGAGATAAAACAGGTTGGTCCCGATTAAACGACCAAGTAAAGTCTTCCCAGTCATAGGCATATCCACCAACATATTCTCCCTAATAAAATCAGAAAAATCCTCCATAGCCCCAGTAAGTCTCCCACCACTCGACTTTTTAGTAGGAAATCGAACCACGTTAAAATCACCCCCAATGCACGTTGGGAGATTCTACCAAGCCATCATATCAATCAACTCATCCCACAAGCCCCCTCTACTCTCATCTGAATTAGGACCATAAACACCTATAAACATCCACTGGAATCCATCCCAATATTCCTAAATGAGAGCGAAAGCGAGTATGACCCTACACTAACATCTTCCATATCATAAACTCTAGTGTCCCACATGATAAGCATGCCTCCTGATGCCCCTGATGACCCCAAAAATCGATATCCTACATGTTGTCCCCCCCATAAGCTACTAACCACAGTTCTCGAGACAAACTCTAACTTAGTTTCTTGCAAACAAACAATTTCCGCCTTCCATTCCCTTAACAAATTTCAGATACCTAACATTTTCCCAGCCTCATTAAGCCCCCTCAGATTCCAGCTAATAAGTTTTGGAGTCATTTTAACACTCTGTCATCCCTTCCCAGCAATCCTTGCCTCGCCACCCTTAGCATCGTAATTTACTGACCATTCGAGCTGCTTAAGCTGGCGGACGCCCTTCCTTCTAACTTTGCCTCCTTGTGTGCTCATTCTTTGCCCCCTACTAGCCTCCAACTTCTCAAATAATTGCATGAGTTTACTTTCAAATCCATCGCAGGACACGCCAACCAACTTGCTGAAGTCTTGCATTGTTTGAAGGACCCAACTTGAGGGTTGGGGTTCAGCTTCAATCGCATTCACCTTTGTTGTTTCACCTACATGACAACACTCCAAAGGATCATATGAAAATCCCTCAGTTACCTCCGCATGGACAACCTCCTTGTTGGTCCCCCCTCTTGGCCACCATTAACCCACAATACCATAGCTTTTTCAGTCCCTAATTCTATGTCTTTTAGGGACTTAACGTGCCTTCTGTTATATGTGTTCCCAACCATAACTGTCGCCCGTGCCTCATCTTGCTCTTTCGAGACTATCACCTTCTGCTTTGCTGCAGATCCCGAAGCTTTCTCATCCGTATCCAACTCTACCACTTTGATCTCGTCTTCATTTCCTGAATAAACTACTTCAGACCGTGCCTAATACGTGCAACTAGTCTTAGTCACCCCCTGCTTGTCTTTAATATGAGCTACATTCGGTGATACCTCCTTAGGAACTAAGCTCGCTATATGATTGTCATTAGCTAGGGGCTCATCCACCTCAACCCCACACTTATGAGAATAGAATATCCTAGGACTCCCCTCAGACCCATATCCCACTAGCCTGATTAAATCATCCAACTCGTCTTTCAATGCCTGGACACGGGCCCTTATTTCCACACTGTTCAGTATACCACCATGTGAACCTTCTGCAAGTCTCCCCGTAGGCTTAGGCATCGAAAGATGATCATCATATTCCCGCACCTTATACATCCTGTCATTGCGTAATAGCCTCTGATGATCAACTTTACGTGATGTCTGTGAGTTTGCCGTCACTTCAGCATAAGTCATCCCGTGTCTAGGTCTTTCATCCATCGTTCGACGTTTAGCCTTGTCTCTCGCAACAAATGAATCGACAACAGCCTTAAACACTCGCGAAAGCGTTGCCCATCCCTCTCCATCCACACCTTCCGGAACCATCATAGCTCCCATCCGACGCCTCTTTCCATACTAAGCTATCGTCAACTACCTGCCTCGGCTGTTCGCACAACATTGTGCCAAAAAAGGCCGTGGTGACTCGGTAAACTTGGACAGAAAACCCTTCGACTTACTTGCCACTCTCAACTTATCCACTATATTTACCATTCATAGTGCACCATACCTCCCCATATAGATAGCGGATGACAACCTCGAGCCCCACTCTATTATCCTAACAGTATTGATTCATTAGCAGACACCTCAAACCTCTTCGTCTCAACTTTAAATCGTTGATTAAATACCATACCATATGCATCCACCCGCTTGTTCCTTTGATTGTGAAGAAACGGCACATCTGACGACAGAATAGGCTTGCTAATGCCATTGGGAGTGTCGTGTTGGAGAATCTGATTTTCCGGCGCCGGCGCGTGGGCCACACTCGTCGGCAGGTCCGACGCCGGAGCGACAAGTGGTCCCTCTAGTGTCGGAAATGTCTGCGTTGATGTCGGAGCGGCGAGTGGTCCCTCTGGCGTCGGAAATGTCTGCCTAGAACACCGGTCATGCGCATCTGTCAGAGCAGTGGCCGGAAACGGATGAATCTGGGTTTTGGTCCCAGATGGCGTCCCTATTTGTCTTCCTTTAGGGTTTAGGTAAATATGTGGCGTGAGGCCGGTAGGGTTAGGTTTCCTGTCGTCTCGCTGTCACCAGCATCGACCGGAGTGGATGGTTGTTGGGTGATTGGGTAAGTGTTGGTAGGGTGATTTTGGATTTGGGGAGAAACTGCTCCATACGCGTCTCCATAAAGGTAACTATGAAATAAGAATCTACACCTAATTTCAACCAGGCATTGACCAGTTTTGCGATACAGGGTTGCATATAGAAGAATGAAGGCTGTGGTATTTGTTGGCTTGGATCGGTTCAGTGCATTGCTCGAGTAGGCTATAGGCTAAGAGATCGAGATTGCTTGTTAATAGTTGATCAAATGGATTGATTCACCCTTTGAAACAAGTTCGTTTGTCATGTACTGTGACTATGTGACATGTGTATCCAGGGAGTAGTTGCTTCAAAGTGAATGATCAATCTAGAGATCATCTGAATTCCATCAGTAGTGAGGATTTGGAAAGTCACACATTTATGGAATCGTCTCTCCTCTCCTGTCTTCTTCTTTTATCTTGATCTACCACTTTGATACTTCTGAAATATTCTTCTTGGATGCTTGTTTGAAGAATCGTTTGTTTGTACCGCTTGTCTAATAGATACTTGCATTTAATTTTATTATCTCATGGTATCTTTATCTCAAAGAGTCTTTCGTACAGTTACCTTGGTATCCAATATAGTATCAAGCAGAGTTGTTTTTATTTTTTTTCTTCGCCAGGCCATTAAAGTGGGTGATAAGAACTTCAAATTCACATGGTCGCGGGAAATGGGAGACCTTTGTGATATATACGAAGAACGTCGAAGTGATGAAGATGGAAACGGCTTGCTTGTAGAATCAGGGGGCGCTTGGCGCAAGCTGAATGTACAGCGTGTCTTGGATGAATCAACTAAAAATCATGTTAAAATGCGGTCACAAGAAGCTGAACAAAAGCTCAAATCGCGCAAGTATGCTGTCGTTCCCTGAGTTTTTAATTCATACATATATAGATTGTGGCATAACTCTACCTCTTCTGTCCACCATGTCAATTTGATAATAGGCTGAGGGAATGGTTTTCTATTATTTTTGCTCGATTTAGAACAATATAATTTTCCTTACAACATGAGTTGGTATATTTTTCATATATGTCAGATGAATGATACTGCAATTTTACTGATATAAGAAGTTGAAATTTTTCTGGTCTATTATTTTTACTTCTAAATATTTTTTTCTATTTACATGCATGGAATCATTGTGGGAAGGCTGAAATAGTTTGTGGGATCTTAAACATATCTTGACCTGTTTTAATTTATTATTATTATTATTATTATTATTATTATTATTATTATTTACATTTGTAGTACATATAATCAAAAAAATTTCGTTAACGAAACATAATTTCTTATTTAGTAACAGGGCCATTGTTTTAGACCATCAAAACCCAAATATGAAGAATCAAATTAAGGCATTAGCTGCTGCTGAGTGTAAGTTTTTTGGTCCTACTGATGCGAATAATTTTGTTTTTGGTCAAATGCTAGAATTGAATGTTCTGTTCCTTAGCTTCAAAATTGTGGTATTGTGCCTTTCGAACTCTAGCTGGCTGCGAGCATCTTGATGTTTCTATTCTAATGGTGGATCGTGAAATTTACCTAAATTTAGGATGTGAAAGGTCTATAAAAAATTATGTGGCAAGCTTAGTAATTCCTAACTTTAATTAGTTCTACCCATATTTGTTTGGATACCTTGCTGTTTAAAACAAACTTAATAGTTATTAGCACCTTGATCTTCTACATTTTGACGTGAGCATGTGAGAAGTGATTTTCAGTACGCATCATAACCTTAAACGTCACTAAAGGAACCTCTTTCAAGTTTGGAAACTTCATTATGTTACTATTGAAGAGAGGATTGCATGTCATATGTGAAAATATGAACTTCTAATTAAGAAATAGAAGGAATTATCTCTTTAACATATTCTTTTCAGGTCTATGTGAAAGAAGCCTGCCATCAACGATGAAGAAATGCACAATTGATATTTGTTGGCATTATCTGTATGCTTTATTTGACACTTCTATATCTGGGTTAAACTTTCATCAGCTATCATTCTGCTCAAAACTCATTGTAAAGTATATTCCTCAATTGGGATTCTTTTACCTGAGCTGCTAACAAAATAAGTCTTCATTTGTATTATCTACAAATCCAAATCTCTCAATGCTTATAACGCCAACGAGACTATCAACGTATTTGCTACATCGTTAAGTGGGACATTGCTAATAAAAAGCATTTGATTTCTTGATGTAAAGATATGGGTTCCATCTTAAAAGGTCAACCTTATTAAGAGAAGTAACCCAATTCTTTATAAGTTGGTTTATGTTTACATCTTTATTCGACGTGAGATTCTATCTCTTAACATACCCCCGCAAGATGGTGGCTTGTTTGAATAGACCAATTTTGAAATCCGTATGCTCATTTTTAGAGTCTTAACCGGATCGAATTGCTCGTTAGAGCTTAATGGGCTTTTGATACCAATTAGAAGATTTGAGTTCCATCTTAAAAAGTCAACCTTATTAAGAGGAGTAATCCAATCCTTTATAAGTTGGTTTATATTTACATTTTTATTTGACGTGTGATTCTATCCCGTAAAACTTGAAAATACCATAATCACATTCTCAACTTTTGCATGCCTTTGAGATTGAGAAATCCTATGACTACCCTGACTTTTCAATTCCTGAATGGTCTCCTGTGGATATGTTCCTTCTAACAAGGGCAGGTGTGTAGCTCTTCTAACTATACTTCCGTCAGCAACCAGAATAAGGTTTTTCAATTTTCCTGAGGAGATCTTGGGATATGTTTTTGTTTTATGCTGAATTTTAGTGGGGATTGTTTCGTTTTCCCATTCGGAAGTTGAAAGTTGAGTAAACTCAAGCAAAAAAGGTATTGTAAGGTTCTTAAGAAAAAGAATCAAGTTCTTCCTTGGAATAATCCTAGTCAGGAAGGGGAATTAGCAACACATTGAATCTGAACAGGCTATGAATTTTGGCTGGCTTCATTGTGTCAAGAAATTAACGTTCTTTTTTTTAGATTACATCGATCTGAAATCCTCTCAAAATCTTGGATGACCCATTATTTGCATCTTGGAAGTGTGTCTAAGCAGTCCGGACCCGAATGGGGCATGAACGCTTCAAAATCATGTTATTTTGTTCGACTGAAACCATCTTCATTTTTTTTTTCCTTTCGAAATACGGTCCATTTGATTGCCAGAAGTTTGGAGAGCTTTCAAGACTTGCTAAAAGGGTACAAATCTGGTGAATCCTATTTTCAATTGCATTAATCAACTTTCCAAACTCTGATGGTCATCAACCACCTTTTGTGTGTGTACAAACGCGTTTGTTTGGGGTGGGAGCGGGCAGCATATATGTTTCTAAAGTAGAAGTACCAACTTGTAATCATGTTCATTTATTTTAAATATTCCTGTACCATACCATTTTGTCGCAATTTAGTGCATGTTTGGGGAAGCTTAAATTTTAATTTAAAACATACTTTTTTATCCACAAATTTCATAGGACATAACTTATTACCTATTTATTATCCACACATTTTTAGGACCCACGGCTTATAGTCACATAAAAAACACTACCAAGCAAGCTATTATTTTATTGAGGGAGAAGTTGTGTAATTGTATAGTGCTCTGCTTCTCTTGGGATTGCAAATAAAACTTTTACATGTTTTCCATTAGGGCATGTCCAAGGTGCTAGATGATCAACTTCTGTTTCCTTAAATCTTTGGATCTGACGAAAACAAAAACCGTTATATGACTTTGATCCCTGAAGGCTTTCTGGATTCTTATGATTTATAGAAACCAGAAAGAGAAGACGATCGTGGGGTTCACTTAAACAAGCCATTTGAGATATTAGATTGGTGAAGTTTAATTGCATAGGTGATTGATTAAAGTTCAGACCATGAGGTCACTTATAAAAAAGGTCCGTACCAGAAGCTTAACATTCTTTATTAGCCTTAAAGATATATGAGAAGCCTCAAAAGATGATCCGCTGTTGACTAGAATAATATGGAAAAGCAATCTTCTTGTGATTGATGCTCGGGTGCACGAATTTGTTCTTATGTAGAACTGCAGTGTGAATGTTTTTAACCAGTATCTGAATTTAGTACAAACTTTATGTTTTCAGCTACTCCGTGGAGAACTCTCAAGCAAAAGAAAGAGCCTCCTTTCAAAAAGCGAAAAGCTGAACCTCCTTCAGGTAAATAAGGGAAAATATCTTGATAATTCCTTTGCCATCTTTATATTGTGGATATTTAGCTTATCACGAAACTGCAAACAAGTTTGGTAATTTTTTTAGGATTCCGTTTTTATTCATTATTTTATTTGCCATCATTGCTCAATCATCAATGCATTAGGTGGACCTGCTAAATCTGTTTATAAATCTGCTGTGGCTACAACAACTCCTTTAAAGGGAAGGACCATGGATTCACCTCTATCTTCTCCATGGGAGCAATCTGGTGCTCCAGCATCACCATTTGGAAGTGGCAATCTAGTGAAGGGACATGCAGGTATACAAAACAGTATACCAACTCAAGCTGCCAATAGGACTGCCAACTCAGAGAAAGAAATGCTTGGCAGGGTGATGAGTAATACATTCCGAGATAAACCAAGGCAAAAGGGGAACATGGCGCCCAAAGCTGCTCATTTGAAAAGTTTGGTAATTTCTCTTCTCCTGGAGCATCATTCCAAGGGAATGAGTCTCAAGGTAAGCAAGCATGTGTTCTTTCTTTTTCTATGTATTTGAATAAAGGTGTCTATATATCTCACTTCATGAATACCTTCACTGTCTTTAATTTAATATCAACATCAGATCTTGCCAATTTTTGTTTTTAGGGCTTGGAGAAGGCTATTGGAGATGCAATGCCCAACTCGGTCCGGGAAATTGAACCCATTTTAAAACAGGTAAGGAGTGGAGATCTTGTTAGATTTTCTTGCTAGTGATAAATTGCTTTCATATCTTATTTAATTATCTGTCAGGTTGCAACTTTTCAAGCTCCTGGAAGATACTTTTTGAAACCAGGAGTAGAGATGGAAAGCTTGAAGAAACCTTCATCTGAAAGTGGAAGGTATCTCTGCCTCATCTGGCTTTCCTGAACTGACTAATCTATGCTTGTTTCTCCAAAGGCCTGACCTTGCTTATTCTTTTTGCTGTGTAAAATAAGATGGCACTTTGGTGAGCTTAAGTATGCATTTCACCGTCTCTATTAAAATGAAATAAGAATAGGTAAAATGGTCTTCTATTTCTTCTATTTTGGGCACAAAGTACTTTATCATTGTGGAATTGTAAACTAAAGGGCAAGCAACTTTCGTTAACCAGGAAATACCCACCCACAAGGGCTCATAGGAAATTTTTTTTTAATCCACATATAAAAATGTTAAAACTGTTGGATTGTGGTAGGAATGGAAGTTCAGTTTGGTAAACAGAAATTGTTGGTCTTTGTTATGGTCTCATAACTTCATTTGTGGCATTAGTAATAGCTGTCATGAATCACTCTTTGTCCTTGTGACGCATGCCCGCTCGCATCCACTCTCCCCACCCCAAAATTAAAAATCAGTATAATGAATAAATGGGTGGAAGACGGAAAAAAAAAAGAGGCACTTGTCTTTCCCATAATGGGAAGATATATTTTTTAGGGGATGGTATGTTTAAATATTTTGACCCATTTTATACATTTGAGTTCGTTGGATGTCAACCTTACTGCCTTTGAGTTTTCAAATGTAACCAATCAATCTTCTTTAGCATGCATAAATGCATTTATGAATAGGATATTGAGATCTTTATAGATCAGTGTTGTTGTGCTTCTTATCTATGATGATTCCACATTTCCCTAGGCAAGCTCAATTTTGTTAGAATGCACATCCAACTTGGGTGAAAGGTTTTGAATTGCATCAATCCAGTTTTCTGTTTATTCCTCCATATATATTTCTGTGCATATGCTCACTACGATATGTACAATGTGTGATTAATTTGCAGTTCTCCTGAACTGAACCATCCATCTTTGATCAATGAGAAGAGTGCCAGACTGGCTGCTTCAGAACCCAGCTTTTCATTGAGAACTGACACCAATGAATTGGAAGAAAATGCTAGATTGAATTCTGTGCCTGGACATGAATTAGACACCATAGAGGAAATTGATATCCTACATAGTTCACCTACTGCTTTAAGTGACAAAAAAGTTTCTGATAATAGTGAAGGGCCTGCTGCTAGTTCTAGTGACAGTGGAAGTGGAAGTGGAAGTGGCAGTGAAAGTGATAGTAGTGACAGTGGCAGTGATAGTGGAAGCCGTAGCAGAAGTAAAAGTAGAAGCCCAGTGGCAAGTCGAAGTGGGAGTAGCAGTGGCAGTGAAAGTGACGCATCTTCAAACAGCAAGCAGGCATCTGACGAGGATGTCGATATTATGACGAGCGATGATGATGATAATGTCATAAAGTCCAAGCATAGATCCCAAGATTCTGAGCCTGTCTCACCTAAATCTCCAATTCCAGAGAGACCTCATAGTGAATCTGTTGACATTGTAGATGATCATGTTTCTGATGTGGTTGAGATTGAGAAAGACTTGCCTGAAGATGACCATGAAGCTAAAATGGCTGCAGCTACTAATTCAGTTTCTAGCAAAGATGGTGAAAAACCTGTGGAAGGGACAAAACCTTCTTCATCCAATCATCGTGGGGCTAATGAAGGCCAAGTCTACAGACAAAGATTCTATGGTGAAACAGAAAATGTGGCGAGGGATGGCTTCAAGCAAAAGCAGTCTGATGGCACTGAAAGGATGCCAAAAAGCAAATATAAAGGGCATTCTGATGAGAGGCCTCACAACAGTAAAAGATCAAAAGGCAAAAACTCGAGTCAGACTGTGTCTGGGACTATGAACGCTCTCTTTGGTGAGAGTCCTTGCAATTCAACCCCTGGTAGGCCTCTAAAAAGCCCTAATAAGGACCCTAATATTCATATGGCTAATAGAACTGCTTGGGATGGTGCTGATGATTCTAGCATACAGAAAGGTTTCGAGCAAGCAATTCCAAGTAGATCAGTTTCTGAATCTCAGCAATCAGATCGAAGATCTTTTGATGCTAGCGGACAGGGTAAGGTCCCTTCTGGAGAAGATCGGTCGGGTAAACATGCTGAGAACTTGGGTCGTGACATCAAGGACTTTGAAAGAAACCTTCATTCCAGCAAGGGTCTTAAGCTTCAGAAAGATACGAGTAAAAGAAGAGCACAAGGGGAAGATGGTTTCATTGGTGAGAAAAGGCCAACCAATATTTCTGCAGGTATTGGAGATGAACAGTCTCTGCTGAATGAATCTCGTCACCGCAAAAATGAAATTGTGGGGAAGATAAAGGAGCCTGGGTTCATGGGGCATTCTCCCAAGGATGGCAACACTAATTTTACTGACAGATCTCCATTGATGAATGATCGAGGCAGAATACTACGAAGAGAGCATTCAGACTTGGAGTTGGGTGAATTTCGTGAACCCATTCCTGATGAAACTCCTGGGTTGAAGAAGCAATTCGAGAAGGAAAATTCTTTTAAAAATTCAGAAAGCAAACCTGCTAGTTCGGAGTACTGGAACTCAGATTCAAGTAAAGGAAAACCTTCTAATAAGATTACTTCAGATTCAAGGAAACTGTCTTCACACAATCCAAACATTGTGCCTTCTGGCTTTCCAGATGGATCATTGAAGAGCAAAACACCAGAACATTATGCTGATGACCTTACAAGATCTCACCAAAGAACTGTGGAATCTCAACCGCAGCAGCACCAATCTAGACATATTGACGGTGGAACAAACATGGGGACTAGCTTGGAAGCTCATCAGGATATGTACAGCAGAGTGCCTGTAAATGCACCTGCAGAGCAACGTTATTTGAAACCAGTTCCCCCATCTATGATAGAAGGCAAAAAGCAAAAATCAAATGCCATTGCAGATTCAAATGATAAAAGAAAAGATTCTTCTTTGACAGGGAACAATAATGGTGGTCAGAAAAGGAGAGAATCTTCGTCAGATGAAACCAGTTGTTTGTATTCCAAGTATGAGAAGGATAAGCCTGAGCTGAAGGGTCCAATAAAGGATTCTTCACAGTAAGTATTAACACGATGCTCATCGTTAGCGACTGTTATTTATATCTCCAACTGTGCATATTGTTGAAAACCTTGACTTTTGTTGCTTTTACCTAATATATATGCCATTCTATCTTCAGGTATAAAGAATATGTGCAGGAGTTTCAAGAGAAGTATGAGAGCTATTTCTCCTTGAACAAAATCTTGGAGTCATACAGGTATTTGGCAAGTTCTAAGGTCCCATTCTTGAATTTTGAATTTGATTTTTGTCAAAATATACTGTTTATCAATGCTGAATTGGTATTCTACCTCAGTTGCCTGATGTGTGTTTATGCACTTGCTCAGGGATGAGTTCAATAACCTCGGGAATGACCTTGAGGTGTACAGAGGAAGGGACACAGAGAGATATCAAGACACTTTAGGACAGATGAGAGCATCCTTTCGTCAGTGTGGGGAGGTATATTTTTGAGTTTTGTTGTGCATATATAATTTTTGTTTCAAAGATTATTATGAGTTTTGTCGTGCATATAAAATAAGTCCGTGGACAAGAAATTGTTATGGACTGTATGCCTATTAGTGCAATCAGAGTGATCTTCGGTTGAGCAGTCCATTCGCTTGCAAACCACTCTATATTTGTATGAAAATCGCTGTGGAAGAAAGATACTCGAAACAATCTGTGAATTGGTTAGTGTAAATTGATTTATTTTAGCCAAAAATCTCCACTAGGTTTAGGTAACATCTAGGAAGCACTGACATGCTGTCGGTGGCTACATAGCGGTGTCCAATATGTATCAAACACTGGAACGTCTTCGACATGTCGTCGATGCGTCTCGGATGCCCTTTCGGAAGACCTTACAAAGAGCTGAAGGCTGTCCTAGCAAAGAACTGAAGGAGTGTGTTAATACATGAAATAGGCGGTGAGGTGCTGACAAACTTTGGGCTGTTGCAGTGGAATGAAGTGGTTGAAAAAATGAAAAGGTTAAACCCTAGTTTGTTGAAGAAGGAGGGAAGAGACGTGTGTGTTTGGGATGAATAGTAAATGAATAATTAAATATTGACTATCTTTTAACAAGTTAATTACTCTTTTACCCTTAATTCAAAAATCAAAAGAAGGCTTCTTAAGTCTAAAAAGGACGCAAATTTTTTTAAGCAATTTACCATTTTACCCAATTTAAATCAAACTTCTAAAGTATATTTGTTATTTAGCCATTTATATTTGATGCAATGAGTATAAAAAAAACTTGTTACTTTAGACTAGTAAATTAAAAAAAATTAAAAAATATTATTTAAATCAATGTGTTGACGACGTATCATATCGGAACCTTTTCAAAAAATCGCGTGTTGGTGTGTCCGTATTGGTGCTTCTTAGGGTAACATTACTAAATCATGATCAACTTGACAGAGAATCTGAGAGAAGATCGAATAGGAAAATTAGAGTTGTCAAACGGCATTTATTTTTTTATGAACTGATTTCTAAGGGTGATGTTATTGTCTTAAGCCTGGTCACTCGTTTGATGTTACAAATATATAACATAACACACTTTGGAAACATCTGCTATATTCTTTTACAGGGAAGCTGCCCTTTTCAAATCCTATATTTCACAATTTTAGTCAAAGGCATATTAAAATCAGTTGCACCTCTATCCCAGATCAATCGCTAATTTATTGATGTCTTATCTGTTTAGTGAGTTGCTATGAAGCGAACCGTACTGCTATAAACATTTTAACTTTGTGCAGAGACATAAACGACTGAAGAAGATTTTTGTTGTGCTTCATGAAGAGTTGAAGGTTAGCATCTAGTTGGTCATTGTAAATTTCAATTCTTATTTTCATCTCTCATTTTATTATTTGTTTGCACTATCCCTTTTATGTGAACAAATTGGTGCATATGTTTGTATTCAGCAACTGAAGCAGATGATTAAAGATTATGCTGCTAAAGACTGATGTCCATTACTATGTTGGCTGATAATTTCTTATTGAGTTGATGGTTTATTACATCCATATGTTAACACTGCACGATTGGGATCATATTGTACAATGTTTGTCAAGGTTTCACTGTGAAGACCCACCGTATGATGGCTGCAAAGCTTCATTCATAACCTTGGATAGTCAAAAAGTTCAAAGTAGTTGCTCGTGGTGTTGGTCAAAACTGCATGTCCATGAGAATTGGTGCTCTAGAGGATATTTGAGGGTGGCAACAGTTTGTGGAGATTATGTTTTAACATTACTGAGGTGGGAAAATCTGATATCCAAGGGTGGACGCGTACTGCCTGATATCTTTTTTGTTATTATTTGTTTTTCATTGGGATATGGTTGTGGTTCTAGGGATTTTTTATGGTGAGGTTTTATTTCTCTGATATTTTGAGGGTTGGCACTTCTTGCTGAATGAGAAGATGTATTCTTTGTAATCAATTTTGACATTTGTTTTCTTTTTTCCTATTATTATAATTTTATGAAGCTATAGCTCGGCCAGAAAGAGCTTTTCTACAAGATCGAACAAGATTTGAGAGCAAGTTCTTCACTCTATGATTCTTAGGTCCTGTTTGATTGTCACATTTTTCATTGAAAATGTCACATCCGAGGAAAACGAATTCTACTTTGGCCGTTTGATTGCAACGTGGAAATGAAAATCGAATTTCAAGGTACAATCACTTTAGATTGCATTTTCTATGTTTTCATGGAAAACGAATTCCTATGTGTTTGATGAGTTTTTATTTTCCAACTACTATGAAATTAGGATTCTTTTGCACATTTGCCTATCAAATGGACCCTTAATGTACATGCATTTTACACCAAGTTCTTCACTTTATGATTCCTAATTTGATTTAATTTATTTCTCATATTTATTTTCAACCACATTAACAAAATAAAATATTATATATGTAAACTCAAATTTTTTTTCTACATTTTTAAATATATATTTCTTAAAAAATACTATTCAAAATATAATTTTTTAAGTTTAAAGGCCACCAAACATGGGCTAATTTCTAGTTCCCAAATCATGTTCAAATTGAAGTAAAGAGTTCAGGGGGAAAAAAGGTTTTTACTGAAACCTCAAATTGGAAAGTAATTTAATTCCAAATTTAATATTTTATTACTCCATATTGAAATTTAAATAAAAGTCAATAATTAATTTTAATCATATTTTTCATGGGACTAGCAATTTTTCAATCATATATTTCACTAATTTTTATCAACATTTACTAAAAATATAATTTTAATCTACACCAAACAAATCTTAAATTAATAATTCTCAAAACAGTCAGGCATGATATGTGGGTAAGCCCAAAGCCAAGTGCTAGGCCCAAATAGAACCCAGGTAATAATAGCCTAATGGGCTTTCTAACCCTGGACAGAAAACCAACGGGGGGGTGCTAGCTTTGAGCAGGAGAAGAAACGAAGAAAAAGGGATTTGCCGAAATGGGGAGAAGAATATTGAACGATGCCTTGAGAACAATCGTCAATGCCGAAAAGAGAGGCTTCGCTTCGGCGGAGCTCAAGCCTATCTCTAATGTAATGGCTTCTTTCCTTCAAATCATGAAATACCGAGGTAAACATGTACATTTGCATCTATTTATGTATTTATCTGTTTACCTATGTGTTCATTGACTTGTTATGATTTCAATCAATGCACACGTTTTAAATTTGTTTAGAAGCAAATGGGTGGGAATTAATTTTTGAAAGTTCCTTGAAGTTTATTTATTTTTATATAGAGCTTGTTTGTATATAAAGTGTGAATATATTTACGGGGGATATATTCGCGCTTCTTTGTGTTGTGCCTTTTTAATTGATCCCAAAGATGAATTATACTGAAATGCGTTGGAAATATTTGTTTAACGTTGTTGCCATGAAGTTTGATTTTTACTTGTTCCTAAAAGATGGGCAAACGAAGAAGTGTGCACTGATGGATAAATAGCAGGGTATATTAAGGATTTCCAAGTCCATGATCCACATAGGGTGGGGAGGATAACTGTGGAGCTGCTGGGGAGGATTAATGATTCTCGGGCTATCACTTATAGACAGGATATCAAGGCTCATAACATCAAGAGTTACAAAACAGACACTCTTCCTACTCATCAGGTTCTCTATTCATTGTTCTTGCATTTGGTTTTATTGTGCTGATTGCCGTTGAGGCTGATTTGGGAGGGGGGATGATAAGTAGTGAACTGTAGTTGAGTTTAGGATTTTGAGGATTTTGGTTGTATATCTTGAGTTGAATCATCAGTCTAACGTGGACAAGTTCATTTTAATTCACTGCAAAACTCTAGATATGCCCAAATATGATGTGTTTGAAAATTCAAAATTTTATTTCGGCGATGCACTAAAATTATGTTGATGATAAGTTCTGTTATGTAATGCAAACTAATCTCGTTCTAAATAATGTTTGTATATGTGCAATGTCTTGGTTTCTCCATCCAGTGCCTTCTTTGGTTGTAATAAATTAGTTTAGGTGTATTATCCTTTAAAGGTTTTGTGGTAGAATGTGATTAAATAGTCAAATAGATCGTTTGGCTTATAATTGGCAAGTTTATGCATCAAATTGTAACGATCAAGATAAAATTGTCTATCCTCTTACAGTTTAGAATTGACCTGCAATAATGAATTGAGGTTGTGAGGTATGAGACACTGATCCACCTGACTAGTTAATTATAGTGTCATCAAATAATGCGAGTACTCCCTATATCACGATCTTCAGAAGTTTAAGGCTAGCTTATTGAAATCTATTAAACAAAGGCACTAGTAATTGGAACTTCATGGAGAAATGCAGACAACGTTATATTTGACACCTCTGCGCCACGTATATGACTGTTGCTTTAAACAACTCTTGCCATAAATTTCTATGTATATCATGTTATGTTACCTGGAGTTTTAAACTTTATGGAGACTAAGAATTTAGTAAAATATAGAATATAAAATAATGATTTGCGTGTATATATATTTCTTGTAAGTCATGAAGAAAATTGTCCTATAAGTACTTTAATGATGAATATGACATGTCGACTTACATTGTTATAAATATAGTACTTTAGTGATGAATATGACATGTCGACTTACATTGTTTAAAATCTAAACGATGTATATATATATATATATATATATATATATATAAAGAAGAAGATATTGCTTGTGGCTTGTCGGACCCACGTCATGGAGTGCATGTCTAGCATAACACAATTCGTGTTGGACACGAACACGCCGTCCTAGTAGTAGTAGGAGTGCTTGTGTATTGTATATGAATATGTAGATAAATTCAAATGGATGCAATACAAATATAAATGAAAAGATCAGCATAGAAATCGTTTAATTTATTCGTCTTGCAACTATTTTTCTCATAAGCAATGAGGAGACCTAAATGTGAAAACTGCGAGAAAGGTAAATATATGTAGATCAATTCATAGGTAACACGAATTTAACTGAATTTCATAATTGATGTTAAAAATATGTAGATAAGCTCGTATGGGTACAATCTGAATGTAAATGGATGTCCAGAACTGACGGTTAATAAACGTAGATCAACTCATATGGGTAAAATATGAATGCAAATAAAATTCCAGATCAACTCATAGGGAACAGAAATTTACTTATCCTTGCAAGTCTCTTGCATGTGTCTCTAGATTTAGTTTATTATTATAATAGTAATATCACATAAATTATTATGCAAGACAGTTTTAGATCATGTTTGGGTACTTGCCTACATATTATTTCTCTCATAAGTAAAATCAGCAAGCACCCGAACATGTTCTGGATAGAATGCATTGTTTTATAGTTTTCTTTCATCACCTTTATTATATAAATTTGTTACATTTATAAATAGTTCTTGTGTCCTTGCATCATGTTACAGCGCAAATCCGTAAGACAACAAACTTTTAATTTTCAGTTATCCTTATTTATTATTTCATATTTATATCAATAAATTATAATAATGTTAATTCAATACTTCTAAGGTTCCAAAAGGAGATAAAATTGAGATTCTTCGTCACACTATTCGTCAAGTATAATTCCTTCCTTTTAATTATTGAAGCAACAATTACCATAATTTGGGCTCAAAAGCTAGAGAGTCATGCTTTGTGTACCCTCCATTAAAACCTTGGAACTATTTTTTTTTATCTTAAAATTAGTATTTGGAGTACTTTACCACTCTGTTGTGAGTAAGACATGGAGTCCATGAAGCTAATTTTAGACATGCCATTGTATCATGTCCATTTTTCTTTTTACTTGAGCTGTTGTAACTGTCTTTTGATAATGATTCATTGAGGAATTCCTTACACCCTCAAGTTCATTGAACACCTTTGTCTCTGTTCTTCTCTTGATGCAGTGGGGCTATGTTGTAATTACAACACCAAATGGAGTTTTGGATCATGAAGAGGCAATTCGACAAAATGTAGGCGGTCAAGTTCTGGGGTATTTTTATTAAATTTATGGTCATGGCGTAAGCAAAGAACGACTTCCAATTTCTCTTTGGGTTTTGTACATTTGTTTGCTTGCTATGAGTTAAATGGAAAAACTTTGAACGACCTTAAAGTTTTCCTTGAAATATCCTATGGGAAACACTGGCATTAATCATTTGTATGTCTTGGGTGCAGCTTTATGAAATAACATTTTATTTGGAAACTCAAACAAGACTATTGCCACATTTATGGTTTTTCACCTGTTAGAATAGAAGTTGAAAGATGAGCTTGAAGTTCGTATGAGCTTTGTTCCTTTTTGTTACAATTGGCTACTATTGCATTGATGTCTGCTTTATGAACTAATATTTCGTTTAGGTCTGATTAATAAAAGCCGGAATTGAATGTGAGTTCATGGTGTGAAAGCGTTTAGAAATTCTTGTAATAAGAATTAAAAATAAGAATTATATTGGAATAATCTTGCTTTGTATTGATATATGATTGATCGATTAAAAAGTGTACAATACCTCTATATTTATAGGCAAAATTATTCATAATCCTATTAATAAAAGGAAACTAAATTCTAAAAGGAAATAAACTAGTCCTAATCTAAACAAGATTTAATAATAGACCTATTACAACTAGAAAAGGAAATTAGAAAAGATAATTTAAAAAAGACAAACAGGAGATAAAGTGGAACTATTAATTGTAGTTGTGATGTACTACATCAATCTCATCCACTTGAATAAAACTCTCCATCAAGTTTTGTGGATGTAATGAAAACTCATTTGGAGGAAAATATTCAAAAATATCAGCAACATTGAAAGTATTAGAATGTTCATATCGGCAGGAATGTCAACTTTGTTAGCATTATCACCAATCTTTTGAAGAATGCGAAAATGACCAATCTTCTTATCTTTAAGCTTATTGTAAGTGCCAATATGAAAACGATTTTTGTGGAGATGGATCATCACCAACTCACCTTCGTTGAATAGCTTAAGGCGTCGATATTTATCTGCAGCAGTCTTGTAACGAATATTAGCATCTTCTAAATTTTGTTTTACTTCGTGATGAATTCTTTTAATACGTTCAGTAAACTCTTCTGCATTAGAATTGACATTCAGAAGTCGAATCAAATCTACTGTATGTCTTGGAACACTAGTGTAAACGACTTCAAATGGAGTCTTCTTGGTGGATCGATTAAGCATACTATTAAAAGCAAATTCAATCTGTGGAAGGGCAACATCCCATTGCTTTGGTTTATCTCCACTGACTGCTCGAATCATATTGCCAAGAGTTCGATTAGCCACCTCTGTTTGTCCATCCGTTTGTGGATGACTCGCGCTACTAAACTTTAAAGAAGTGTCGAATATTCTCCACAATGTCCTCCAAAAGTGACTTAGAAACTTGACATCTCTATCAGAAGTTATAGAACGAGGAATGCCGTGTAGGCGAACGATCTCACGAAAAAATAAATTAGCCACGTAAGAAGCATCTGCAGTTTTCTTACAAGGAAGGAAGTGAGCCATTTTCGAAAATCGATCAATTACAACCAAAACAGAATCAACTCCTCGTTGAGTTCGTGGAAGACCGAGAACAAAATCCATAGTGAGATCTTGCCATATTGTTTCTGGAACAGGCAATGGGGTATAGAGTCCAGTATTTTGAGCTTGTCCCTTAGCTTTCTGACATATTGGACAACGCTGAACAAAACGACCAATGTCTCTTTTTAGCTGGGGCCAATAAAATCTTTCTTCAACCAAGTTGATTGTCTTATCTCGACCAACATGTCCTCCTAATCCGCCTGCATGCAATTCTCGAATCAAGTGCTCACGCAAAGAAGAACGAGGAATGCATAATTGCGTTCCTTTAAATAAGAATCCTTCCTGAAGTAGGTAATCGGGTATAAATTCTCTATTACTGCATCGAGTCCATATATCGCCAAAATCCTTATCAGTTGCATAAAGTTCCTTTAAGCAATCGAACCCAACTACTTCTGTACTAATGGTAGCTAAAAGAGATGCTCGTCGACTTAAAGCGTCTGCTACTTTATTCTGTTGGTCTGATTTATGCTTTATAGCAAAAGTGAATTTCTGTAAAAAGGTGATCCATCGAGCGTGCATTCGATTCATTGTTTTTTGAGAATTGATAAATTTCAAAGCTTGATGATCCGTAAATAACACAAATTCTCGTTGTATCAAGTAATGTTCCCAATGCTTTAAAGCCCGAATAACGGCATAAAATTCTAACTCATAAGTAGTCCACTTTTGCCGAGACTCACTAACCTTTTCACTGAAAAATTCGACTGGGCGACCTTCTTGAGATAATACTGCTCCAATTCCCATAACTGAAGCATCACAATCAACTTCAAATACTTTTTCGAAGTTAGGTAGTGCCAACACCGGTGTAGTGCATAACTTGGTTTTTATTGCCTCAAAACTATTTTCTTGCGCTTTACCCCATTGAAATTGACCCTTTTTCAAGCAATCGGTAATAGGTGCCATGATTGCACTGAATCCTCGAATGAAACGCCTGTAAAAAGTTGCTAGTCCATGAAAGCTTTGAACTTCTCTCACGGTTTTAGGAGCTGGCCATTCGCGTATTGCTTTCACCTTTGTTTCATCAACCTGGATACCATCTTTTCCCACCATAAAACCAAGAAATAAAAGTTGATCAGTCATAAATATGCATTTTTTGAGATTGATATACAATTTATTATCTCGCAGGACGGAGAGAACTTCTTTAAGATGTGACAGGTGCTCATCTTCATTCTTGCTGTAGATAAGAATATCATCAAAATAAACCACCACAAATTTTCCCACAAAAGGACGAAGAACTTGGTTCATTAATCGCATGAATGTGCTTGGTGCGTTCGACAGCCCAAATGGCATCACTAACCACTCGTAGAGACCATCCTTGGTTTTGAAAGCTGTCTTCCACTCGTCGCCAGTTCGAATACGGATTTGATGATAGCCACTCCTTAAATCAAGTTTGGTGAATACCACTGCCCCTTGTAATCTGTCGAGCATATCATTAAGACGCGGGATGGGAAAGCAATACTTGATTGTTATTTTATTAATAGCACGACTGTCTATACACATTCGCCAACTGCCATCCTTCTTTGGAGTGAGTAAAGCGGGAACTGCACAAGGACTCATGCTCTCACGGATCAATCCTTTATCAAGTAACTCATTAACCTGTCGCTGCAACTCTTCATGTTCAACTGGGCTCATTCGATAATGTGGTAAGTTAGGCAAACTAGCTCCAGGTGCCAAATCAATATGATGTTGAATGTTTCGCATAGGGGGCAACTCACTTGGTAACTCATCAGGTGCTATATCAGCAAAATCAGCAAGTAACTTTTGAACTTTGGCAGGAATCTGTATAGTTGCTTCCAAGTGACCTTTAACTACTAATGCTAATATAGTGCTCGGCTCTTTTACGTGGTCGAAGAATTCTGGGCCTGATATGTTGGTAAAAAGTGGTTTATCTTCCTTGATAGCAGGATTATTTTCCAAATGTTGAGATTGTGGTACTAAAACGATCTTCTTATCAAACCACCAAAATATGAAAGTGTTATCTCGCCCCTTATAAGTGGCATCAACGTCATAGTGCCATGGACGACCCAATAATATATGACAAGCATCCATATCCACCACATCGCACATGATCTCATCTTTGTAATATTTCCCAATCGACAAAGGAACCTTACAGATTTCTAGAACTTGAACTTCTGGGCCTTTTTTAATCCATGCAATCTTGTATGGAGAAGGGTGTCTCTCAGTCTTCAGATTTAGAGCTTTTACCACTGCTTTGGAAACGACGTTCTCACTACTACCGCTGTCAATGATTACGTTGCATACCTTACTACGAATAGTGCACCGAGTCCGGAAGATTTTGTGTCGTTGTGAGTTATCAGGCTTTTTGGGTGCAAGTAAAAGGCGTTGGACAATGCACGCCAACTCTTCCCCAGTATCTGCATCTGCAACATTACCACCCTCATAGTCACCGTCTTCAAAATTTTGTTCTTCATCACTTTCGCCCTCTTCTACAATGTTAATGGATCGCCTGTTTGGACAGCTATTTGAAAGATGTCCTGGTTGGTTACACCGATAGCACTTTCCAAGATTAGGACGCGCATAAGGGTCATTATTTGTTCGTTGCTGTGCTTGGTTTCTGTTTTGGATGTTAGATTGAACAGGAGCTGAAGTTCCACTTTGATTCTGTGCCGAATTCTGAATTGGCGTGGTACCCTTACTGTTATTATTATTGTTGCCTGATGTCGTTGCACCCTTTGGAGTAGAATAAGTTTCTTGAATTGGTCGTCGAAAATTGCCTTGAGTACGGGCTGTGGTCCTATTCATCTGATTTTCCACTTTCATTGCTAAATTGACTGCATCTGTCATGGTCCAAACCTCTTGAAGAGCTAGTCGATCTTGAATGACTAATTTTAGGCCTCCTATATATCGAGCAATTAATTGAGCTTCTGTTTCAGACAAATTAACTCGGGCATTTAAACGATAGAATTCCTCTGTGTACTCGTTTACTGTTCGATTGTTCTGTCGACAATTCTGATATTGCTGGTACAAAAATTGCTCATAATCTGGGGGGAGAAATCGTCTTTGCAATAACCGTTTCATCTTGGGCCAAGTTTGCACACGTTGTTTTCCTTGTCGTTGACGATTAAATTGAAGTTGTTCCCACCATGCCGAAACTCCACCCTTTAATTTATACGCCACGAGCTTAACTTGGCTTTGTTCCGAGATATTCAAATAGTCGAAAAAAATTTCGACGGTATGGATCCAATCCAAAAAATCTTCAATATTTAATCGGCCGTCAAAACTTGGCAAGTCCATCTTCATCTTAAATTCTTGAACATTTGTACCCCGATTATTAGCCTTTGGTTGAAAATTATCTTCTTCGGATGAATAATCGAAACCCCGTGGCCTTCTTTGTTGAAAGCCTCTGTCCCTCAACTGAAAATTAGGAACTCGATCAAAATTAACTCCTCGATCAACATTGTAACCACGGTCAACATTATAGCATCGGTCAAAATTGATTCATTCCCTGAAATCAAATCGCGCCTCTGCCTCTCGCTCAAGATTTTTCGTCGGAGCTCGCGGTCGATCACTGAGCTGATCGTCGCCGATTGGAACCCTTCGCCGGAGGTTACCTTCATCTCGCCTGTTTTTTCGCTCGTAGAACCGTAGAGGGACAGCCTCGCAAGGGTCGCGATTCGCGACTGGGTTCGCGCGCCAGGCAACTCGATCATGGATTTCTGGGTTCTATTGCCGAAGTCGATCATCTGCAAGGGGCCGGAGTCCTTCCCCCACACCTGGGTCGACGTGGGGCTGGGTAATAGGGCGCGTCTCCCTCCTTGCTGGAACTCCATGATTTCTTACATTCAAATTAGCATCTTCTTCCTCATCGTCGGAATCTGAGTTGATATCTCTTTGTACATATTTCTGCCCACCCGTCTGTTCTGCCCTGGGTGCATGATGCTTCTCAATAGTCATCGCAGTTAGCATCTGCGTGATATTGCGAAGAGCTTCATCCATCCCTTCTAGTCGTTGCTCAATTTTTTCAAACCTCCGTTCGTTGTCAGTGGTTTGTTTGCCACTCGAACCGTCCTCAGCCATCAGATTGAGGTGAATTCCTTACTCTGATACCAATTTTGGTGCGGAAGTGTTTAGAAATTCTTGTAATAAGAATAAAAAAATGAATTATATTGGAATAATCTGGCTTTGTATTGATATATGATTGATTGATTAAAAAGTGTACAATACCCCTATATTGATAGGCAAAATTATCCCTAATCCTATTAATAAAAGGAAACTAAAATAATGAAACTAAATTTTAAAAGGAAATAAATTAATCCTGATCTAAACAAGATTTAATAATAGACCTATTACAACTAGAAAATGAAATTAGAAAAGATAATTTAAAAAAGATAAACTCCTAAATAAAGTGGAACTATTAATTGTAGTTGTGATACACTACATCAGTTCAAATCTCTTTACTTTTGAATCCATTGTTGAGTTCCATGAGGGGAACTCAGTTTTCTGAGTTTGGTGTCCAGTCTCATTCTATTAGTTGCATTAGCACTTTCCTAAAATGGTGTTGACCATGTACCTGAATTATAAAACATGCTTGGCATCATTTGAAGGAAAGCTCACATGTTACTATTGGATANCATCATTTGAAGGAAAGCTCACATGTTACTATTGGATAGTACAATCAACATGATTCTATTTTTCTTATTAAATATTGAGTGGGTGCTACAAATCCATTTTTATCTCTAGTAGTTTTGATAAAACAGTTTTGCCCCCGTTTTTGGCAAAATAATGTTTTGAATACTGATTTTTAGGAGAATGTATGATTAAAAAGTAAAAAAAAATTGAATTTATGTGCAAAATATAGAAAAACGGTGAGTGAAAGTCCTCTTACAAAATTCTTTCGACAAATATTTCATCCTGCTTGCCAAGATGCCATTTTCTGCTAATATAGTCCTTTGTGGTAAATATTGCCCGAGAAAATTGCTTGTTCACTACTACGATTGAGTAGAACACGTGAAAATCGTTCAGAGTGGGATAGTAACAATTTAGCACTACAACATTGCTCAAGTATATTACAAAATATGTCGATTACTTCAGCAGCACAATGCGATAGTTAAAAATATATGGTTATTAAGAAGAGAGACCGTGATCACAAGTTCAATTAAACTCACAAGAAACAGAAAAAGTTTAGCTAGATAAACAGTAACTGACGGGGGTAAAAAGTCTAATTCCTGTAGGCAAGTATCAAATTTATTACTAGTCGCGAGTAATGTTAGTTTCCTATTGTCCCACCTGACAGGAAAAACATTTGCATTTAAGCGGGAGAGAATTGTTCGTGCCATTGTCCTAGGATCTATGACGACAACCAGTATCACAAGACATTCCCATTACCAAACAACACTGCAATCAACAGATGCAGGGTACATCGCAAACCACGATTCTTGATACCCAGAACTTTAAAGGAGAAAAAGTGGCCAGATTAAACACGAGCTACTTAAACTTCTACTGTTTAAAAGCATCATATATATAAAGAAAGACAGCATGATAAAAGGAGCATATAAGTATGTAGACGAGCTTAGCATTAAAAAGATGAGAATTGGAAGATACGAAAACAGGAAAAACCCAAATGTCTGATATCCAGATCGTGCACAGTTTCCTTACTGCACAATAGACAATTATATCTTAGAAATTAACAAGTGCTGCAAGATAAAGATTTCATATAAGAGAATCTCCGAAACTTATAAAGGACTTCGATCTATAAGAAAGTTATCCTTTTTTGCAGGAGATTTTGCCATCTCTGAAATACATAGCAAAAGGGTGGACTGAATGACTTACAGCTAATAATTTAAACTTTCGGCCCCAAATTATATTCTTTCCGTCCATACAATTTATCGACCATCATAGATCAAACTTATGAAGGAACCAGTGATCAAAAGCATCACTTCTAAAGGCAAACTATAACAAGCACTTCAAAAAAAGATAGTCAGTACAAAAGTGCATTCATCAGATGTCAATAAACTGTTAGCATGTAGGGCATGCATTTAGTTCTTCGATTAAACTACTCTCAAGTTCAAGATGTGAACGAAGACCACAAGATCTGGATTATCTATTGGCAATAAACACATAAGATCATGGGTCCATCTTTCACACCCAGTTCATTCCTTCCATTCTTTCTGTTTCAACTCTCAGCTGCCATGCAGAACATTACAAGTGTCTTCTTAACTTGGTAACTGCAATTAAATTTTCAGATCTAGTACTAATAGCATTACAGTAAAGCTGGAAAAAATGGTCCTCAGCTTGTTGGGGGTGGAGGTGGGGTGATCTAGAAATAGATTGCAGAGTACTTAGGCTACACCAGTTAAGGATTGAGATGCAGAGTCGCAGACTAAGAGAAACAAAAGAAAGGATATATAGACTCTGGTGGTGGTGATGTGGTGGATTTAGTTGTCATGGCCTCCATGAGATCAAGTCAAATTTGATCAGGTCAGGAAAGACAAATTTCATCACGACCAGAAAAATAGGCCATGGCAGGGAACAGAATCTTCAGCACTACAGCAAAAGTGATCTTGAATACACACACACACACAGAGAGGAGCACAAACAAAGGAAGGAGCACAACTCGTATGCAAAATCAACTCAAGCCTACAAATATGTCCAATTTTTTTCTTGTTTGAGAATGCCAAAGCCAAAAGAACACGCACACTTCGAAAATATCATAATTTCTATATACATACATGTTAATAGGCATTTCTGCAGCCACAAATTATCAGGTGTGCCACATACTACGGTAATCCAAAAGCATTCGAGTTAATCAGAATTGACCCAATTTATCAAAATGGAGCAGTGTTCAACTGTCGATCAAAGAAAAACGTTTCCTTACACAAAATACAGAAGCAGAAGGAATATTCCCTAACATTTAGGCATAAAATCACATAACCGGAATCATGATATAGTCAAATTTACACAATAAAACCTTGCCCAATGAAAGAGATAATATAATCCAGGCATTAAATCTAGTATTATCACATATTAGCAGTAATCAGGAGTCCAGAGCTCCAAATTCTCCCCAATTTTAGAAAAATATCCAAACTTTACCCGCGGGCCTTGAGCTCTGCAAGGCGCCTCGAAAGATCATCCTCGTCCACCTTTTCATCGTTTTTGGTCGCAATTGCATGAGCAGCAGGCTGGGGCAGGCCCACGGACACCTCGAGCCCGTAATCATCCGCCACTTGCTGCATAAGACTATTAACGTCACCTTCTGGAGTTGAAAGCGAAGTACTTCCAGCCATCGAGCTTTCCATGAACTCAGCCTGCACCTCCATATTCACGAACTGCTGTTCAAATCGGTCCATAGTTTCAGACATCTTCTGCAAATTGCCAGTGGCGAGGGAGGACTCGAGTGATTTAACGATATTACCCATGGACTTGCTGATCGTAGTCATCTTCGCTTGGGTGTCGAGTCGCGCCACCACGGCGTCGAGCCGTGAGGCAAGCCGGAGGTAGTTCATCTGCTCGTTGCGTTTCCTAATGGAGTTTTCGGCGTAGATTCTCGCGCCGTCCATGTTCCCTTTTTCGATTGCCTTCTTGACCTTCAATTTCTCGGTTTTTTCGTCCTTTTCGCACTTGCGTGCCTGCCGCTGGAGGCTTTTCGAGGTGAATTTCAGATCCATGATCTGATTCATCAATTTCTCAGTGTTACCCATATT